GCCCCCCCCATAAAAAAAAAAAGGAGGAGGAAATTGAAACCCCTGCAAAGTATAAAGATTAATTTAAAAAGAGTACCTATTCATGAAGTCCAGTTTCACAGCAACATGTTTCAATTTTAGAATCCCAAAGTTATCCTGTAACATGCATAACAGGGTCAATTCTGATGCTTTGACCTACAAAGTTCAATTGTTAATTTAAGGCTAGACAATTTAAAAGATTGAAACCTGATTTCTGCTTGCTGACTGCAGTAGTTCAGTGACAGATGACAACACTCTATTTTTGCTTTCCAAGTCAAGTTGAGGTTGCTCCCATGAACTATCTACATCATGTAGTTCCCAGGGACTCTGAGGATGGGGTTCTACTTCACCTTCGTATAGGATACCACATCTTTCCCATGGACTGTCAGGAAACTGGTCAGACTTGGCTTTCACTGAAACTACCTCACCTACCCACCACTTACCACCTTGCTCACTCTCATCCTTCCACCAAACCAGACACTTATCTCCATACGACCAATTTCTCTCCATTGCAGTCTCATACCTTGGTCTCTCAATTAGAAAGTCAGGGAAGTTGACTAGTTCGGGAAGTGTAAGCTTAAACTTCTGTCCAGAGACAGGGGAAGAGGAATCTATGAATTGAAGTGTAACTTTACAGCAGCTCTCACCAGAGCCAGGAAGAGTTGCATATGAAAGATGTTTTACCAAGCAAATTTCCACAGCTTGGACTGCAGCTGCATTCTTTGTCCAAGGACCAGGCTCTGATGAATCACTATATTCTATATATTCTTGATGCCCCTAATGTCAAGAAATACCAAGTGTAAATCAAATAAATCTTAATGACTCGATTTGGAAATCACTAATGCAACAAAGAAAATATTACATGAAAAAACAAAATGTGATAAAAGGAAAGAAGAGGCAATGATTAACCAATAGAAACTAAATAATGCACCTGTCGGAAGTACACTACTTCATCACCTAGCTGAGGAATGTAGCGGTAACCCTCTTCACGCTCTGACAATAGCAACCAATTCAGTTTTTTCACTGCCTCATTCGAGCTCATTCCAGATGAAAAAACATTTTCATCCCTGGAAGAACCCTCTTTAGTGTTTCTAGATGACCGGCACTTGAACACATTACTTGAAGTCCATCCTAATGGCGGAGAACCAGTAGCCTTCTTGGTTAGCTTTTCGGTGTTTCTTGATGAACCTACAGCTACATGGCTCTCTCTTATTTTTAGGTCATCTTTCCCGAATGCTGCGTCTCTTGACATTGCAGTAAATCTTAAGGATCTCTTTCTACGTGCTGCATCAGTTGCGGCATGAGGGAATTCAGAACCTGTTTCGTTATGATCATTACAAGCATTAGAAGCACTTTCACAAATATCATGACTGCTACGTAAACCGCTTCTAGATCCATGAGACTTGTTTCTGCCAACAGAATCATCCATCAGTACACCCCAATGCAAATTCTGACTGAATCTATCAGGGCCATTACCTGTTTCTGGAACTTGGTTTTGTTCCAAATGGGAAAAGATTTTAGATGTTGATTCATCTCCACAATAAGCATCTGTAGGAGGATTAAACTCAGAATGAGTTTGAGACTCCCTGGACATTTTCTTTGATTTTATCTTTATTATGGTTGGCTTCACTCTAGGTTTGAGGTTTACTTCAGGATTGTCATCGGTGGTAGTCAACTTGTTTGCACCAGGACCAACACCTATTTGCTGCAGCTGATGACTGGGTGATGATGACAAGTGCAATAATGAAGAACTTTTAGCAACTCCTGAGAAACACAGTACATCTCCAGGACCATTTCCAGCCAGCAAACTGCTAGCTTCAGATTGTCCCAGATTCGTTTGAGCCTCAGCCATTAAATTATCGGCCAGAGCCAGATTTTGGATATCTGGACCAGCAGAAGGTTTTCTATCGACTTGCTCATTTAAAACATCTTTGGGTTCCTTGTCATTAACCATATGTTCAGTTTTACTGTATTTCCCAAACAGCTTCATGCCAATCTTGTCTGCAGAGGATGATCCTGGCTCCTTTAACCTTAGGTTAACCACATTATCTTCAATTATCTCTTCACCAGCTTGAGAAGAACATGGCTTATCAGCTTGATCACCACACTGAGCTGCAGTGTCTTTTGATAGCTCAAGCTTATTAGCATCACGGATTTTCAATTTCAGGACTAATCTCCTTTTGTTCTCGCCGTTTGTCGGAGGTTCAGTGGATTTAGGAGGCACATCGATAGCTCCACCTGTTGGATAGCTCCGCGGTGTGCTTGTCAGTTTGTCATCTGATGCAATATTCTGATCGCTTGACCAACATTCTAATGATTCAGTTTCCAATGAATCATCCTCAGAGCTAGCTTCATCTTCATCATCTGAAGAAATGTCATATTGCTGATATACAATTTCAGGATGTGCAGCTCCACGGTGAGATCTGAATGACTTTGGTTTAGATGACTTCCTTTTAGTGGTAGCTTTCTGCCCATTTCTTGATTTCCTAGTTCTAAGACTTCTACATGAAGTGCCAACATCATCATCCTTAACTTTCTTCCTAAGACGCCTTCCAGATGATGCGACTTCCACCTGAAAAAGATGCAAATGTTGCTCAGCCAGGGTAAGCAAATAGGTAATTTGTTTGTGAATGTAGATGCTTACTTCTGATACAGATATTTTCCTTTTTGATCTGCGTAGGCTATCTTTCCGACTCCGTCTCATCTTCTGTTCTTCACTACATACTGAACCACTAGAAGAGCCGTCTCTTAAACATTCACGCTCTCCTTCAGCAGAAAGCTCTTCATTCATATTATATTCTGAATCAGTCTCATCATTCAGAATAACATTATCTGGCTCCCAGAAAAGGGTATCCACAAACTCCGGCAGTGGTTCAGCTATTATGTCCAAGTCAGCCACTGGTAAAACCTGGTATCCTAAACCCAAACCACCGTCTGTGCCTACAGAAAATTTAATTGAAGAAGGACGCCACTCGGTACCCAGAGCTCCTAGGCGGCGGCGCTGGTACGTACTCTGATATGGTTCAGGATATGGAAGCATACCTAGTATTCCCATTATCCATGTTTGGAAGAAAAAAAACATTTATTACCATCTTCTTGAAACTGACCAAAAAAGAAAAAAGAACGAATGACGAAAGCAACGAATATCTACTTGCATCACAAAGAAGATCTTGCATGTTCCTCCGATATGGAGCTAACTGTGTCTCCTGCAACAGGTAAAAAATGCCTGTTGTTCATAACTTAAAAAAACTTGGAAAACTTATACAAGATGGAACAGCTGTAGGTAGCTGACAGATGGGCCCATCCATGTATTACCCAGATAAGTTTGATATGAAATTTCTCAAGTAGTAAAAACAAATGATAGAACTTAAAAGTGGTAAAGAATAAATCTTTTAACTCTCTTCATCACAAAAACATGACCTAATTCTTTTTATTTTTTGCATGACCTACTTTAACTATAGAGATTAACAGTAATTTTTTTGGAAAGATAACTAAACGGATTTAGATACAGTGTAACAGTTCAAACTTGGATTAATCATTTGAAAAGATTTCATACAAAGTCTTAAATAATGTCAATGATATTATTTTTAATGGGATGGGTGGAAAAAAGAATGACATCAAGGAAATAAATTTTGGAAAGGACAAAAAAGAAAAATGTGTCATAATCCTGAATTGACGGAGTGAACTAGTATGTCAAAACTAAAGGTACCTGATCAATAACATTCCCCTGCGCATCCTGGATAAGGGGCCGGTAATCCCCAAGGAAGAACTGTTGAAAGTTATAGCCTCAATATCGCATACAGTAACTGTAAACTACTTAAAACAATGATGAGAATGAAAGAAACCGCCTCATATACCTGATCATATTTAGCATCCTTTTGAGACTCGCCTTGGCCTGTATTTAATAAATATATTTGTCCAACATCATCAGAAAGAACAATTGATGTTCCATCCCTTTTCACAAAGAAACAGCACATCCAACACAATAAGTAACTTCGACATTTCAAATAAAGCAAAGAGCATTTGCACCAGTTAGCAAATCTAATGGGAAATGGAACTGAATGAGTAATTAATTCTGAAGCCATGATAGGATTGGTGTTCTTCTATGACCCCAAATCAGGAAGCTCTGATGATGTCTAAAATTTGAAGTACATTAAGGAATCACCATTTATATACAAACTTACTTTATAAGTCAAATATCAAAGATACAGGAAATATTATGATGTCCTCTTTAAATTACTTACTGTGAAAACTTTCCATCAACCAACTTAAAGCGTCCTATATCATATGTGCGGATGGGGATCCCCTCCCATATCTGGAGATAGAAATAGCAAGAGTGAAACAAATGGAAATACCTGTGTAAAAGGATGTGATACAATAATCAAAAGAACCAGAAACCTACATCCCACAGGATGGTATTCCCATCATAACCAGCACTCATTGCGATTCTGGGGTTGAAAGGATGAACATCCAGAACATATGTCTGCAAGAGTCGAACACAAAGTGTCAATTACACCAGATATAAGTTTTTCAATAGGTGTGGATGGAGTGAAGGGGTGGAGGAGTCATATCAAGAATAGTACCGGAATTGAATGACTAACATTTTTTAAAGTTTATTATGACCAAGAAAGTGAAAATAAACCACCCTAAAGAATTGCATGACTCTTTTATAGTGCCTGACCAAGAAATTAGGCAATGGTGGAAGCAAGAGAGAAAGAAATAACCAGTGAACACATGCAACGAAATGGAGCGCAAGTGGAAGTTTCTCAAAAATATCTAACCAAGATGACACATGAAAACATATAACCAGCCTAAGCAAGCATTTTGAAAAAAAAAAACTCAGAAATATCAGCCTAATCATAGTCAGATAACTTACAGACTGTGCGTGACCAGTCAAGGAGTGCACCAAGCTACCATCACTAGCATTCCAAACACAAATTCGGCAATCTGCATAAGTTCACCTTATGAGTTGAAAATTTCAAATTCAAGCACCATAATTTCTCTGCTTCAACAAAAGGAACATAATTTGAATTCAGTCATTCACAACCCCAAATGGGAGTATTTTCCTTTCTAACAGGAACCAAGAAGACCTGGATTTCAAAACCCACAAAGTTGGAGTTTGACACTCAACGAGTAGGAAGAACATGAACCAATTTTGTGTTGTTAGCCTTGCAGGTGCTTAGGAAATATTCGCACTTCTACGTGTCCAGTTTGCCAGGAATTGACTAGTCGCACACATGGGAAAACAAGAAAAACACAAGATCCATTCAGATATGACTGGACCCTCGGCAATCGAGGAACTGGGTAAGATTCACCGGCCACTAGACATAGCACATAAGTTAACAGTAGCATGAATGGAACAGGAACTATTCAACCAAGTTTCCCTGCATGTGGCTCATCCATGATAATTTCTTTGGAATTGTGTGAACTAGCGGACAATCACTAAGTGGGGATGCTCCCTCCAGCATGAGCAAACCCTTTTGGAACTGGGAGCCACTACCCCAGCCCGGATGACTCTCAGAGTAAACTCTTACAGAGATGCTTCCTAGCTCCTACAGAGAGTAAACTGTTAAGTCAATCTACAACTTCTAAGCCATGTTAGATTCGTGCTATACTTAATAGCTCATGAGGAATAACCCTCCATAAGGCACCCCAATTATTCTCAGCTCACACCATTTTCTACTTGCAGTAGAAAATAAGTTTCCTAAGCATTTCTTTTCAAAACTTTCACATGACTGCATTATTTCTTTTTTTCTTTCAACCATGGCTGCATTACCCTGATGGGGGTAAACTTAAGCCCATGCCAGGCACCAACATGTCTTAGAATAGTATCAACTTGACATCGGTTTCCTATGTTTAAATATCTTGAAACTACCTCAAATGCACTTTAATTACAATTTACCAACCAAATATTCCAACAACTTATTACCAATTCCAACACAGACTTCTCTGGATGCAAACCAGAAAAAAGATTTAACATGAAGTTGAAGGTCATTATACAGTAGTTACGACATACTTGCTAGAACTAAAAGTTCGATAGGGTGCATGAAAAAAGGGAAAAATTTGGGCTTTAAAGGCAACAATAAATCTGTAACGTAAGAAAATATCCATACCACCTGTATTCGCTGTCAATATCATCCTGATATAATTTGGTTCCATTATAACATAAATAAAATTTATTTATTAACTCATTATCAGCATGAATTATTCACTACTGTCATGAGAAACGCCTACTAACCAGGCTTGTGAATGTGTGTCATGCCTGTTGAGCATCATCTTTAATTACTGTATAGTAGGTCAACAACAAGATGTTTCAATTTCCAAACTATTATGGGCAAGAAATGAAACTGTCATCCCATAATCATATTTAAAATAGTTTTAACCAAATAAAAGTACAAATTAATGCATTTGAACTAAATATGCAATTAAGATAAAATACCCATGATAGCAGCCAGTACAAAGCGATTATCCAGGCTCCAGACTATCATGTTAACACCGCGAGGAGTAGGGCGAAATCTCTGCCGTGGCCCTCCTCGAGGAGGCTGTGGTGGCATTGGTGGCGGAGGAACTTTAAGATGATATGCCTTACCCCAAGAACGTCCATGTTTTCCCTGAACAGAGTAGAACATTATAGTCTGAAAGAACCAGCACAGAGAAATGTCTCAATACTGTAGGTCAGTTAGACTTGGTCCCAATTTACAGATGTAACGGTGTGATGAATTAGTGTCTAACACCTCAAGTAAAGCAGAGCATACTTCTGTAGTATCCCTCTAAAAACATACAGGCATAAGTTTGTGCATGTATTCATTCTCTTATTTCTCACAAAAAGAAACCAAATTTTGAAGTCAAGAACTTACATGGGACGACTTGCGTGGTTTTGGGGTCCAAATAATTGCACTTCCGTCACGGGAACAAGTGACAATGTTGTCATGGCTAAACCTGAAAATTGTGTTTTAACAAGCATGATCATTTACGCAAGTTAACACAACTTTATCCATCAAACAGGTTGACCAACCAAACTCTCCTTTATGTTCAACCATGATTAACTATAGCTGATAAGAAGGATACAGTGCAATTTAAATTTTTTATTGGTATTAGGACCATTTGAAATAATTGGAACAAAGAAAAAAGATGTTCACAAACCAAGAATTCCTAAATTTAGGAATGCAGTCCTCCACAATGGAATCAGAAGTTGAAGATCGTGAAGCAACTGCACAGCCACTGCACAAAAGAATAGAAGGTGAGATAATGATGAACACGTTTAAGGGTGACAACATGACTGCACCAACCTGAACTGTACATAGTTGACATCATTTTCGTGACCAGATAATGTATCTATTTCATGATTTAGCTCCTCGGGGTGATCTGGGGAGAATTTACAAGCACTCCAGACCTGAAGACGGATAATGTTTGTGATTCCATACAATCTCATCATCCCATTAACAGAAAATACACTGAAAAGTCAAAATGCACCAAAAACTTTCACATTCTTAACATTTCTTGCATACTTCATACGGTAAACTCTATGTTTAACCGTTACTGGAAATTTCTTATTGTTAGGTTGTCAAACATGTGTTATGCCATAAGTAAGCTAAACATTAATTAGAGGACTTTGATAAAGAAGCTCAGAACATCTCTTGTATCAGTCCGATCCTAAGAAGACTGATACAATATTACCTTACCAAAAAAAAGGTAAACTATGCTAAGAGCTTATTGACAGGAAACAAAAAAATCTCATATCCCTGCTATCTTATAATGAAGATTTGACAATGTTATAATAGAGCATAACGTTTGATGCTTGTTCATACCCTTGCTAAAGTATCAGAGCTGCCAGTGACAAAGACAGTTCCATTGGCATTGTATGCACAACACAAAATTTGATGGCTATGCGATGTATTACTTGAGGACTGAAGGTTGGTTACTGCGGTACCACTGCTCCTCACTGCATAAAAAATAAAATCCACACAGAGACTCGCCAACTAACAGCACGAACATTATCAGACAAATAACTTGTTCTCAGCTAACCTGAAACGTTATCCTTTGGTCTTGGCGAGTAAACGCGTGGAACACATTGAGAAGACCTAGCATCCCAAATGCGACAAGTTCCATCATCTGATGACCTACCAGTAGGAAAAAAAAACCCGAGGGAAGGAAGTCACACATTTATAAAGCAAGTTACCATAAACCCCATAATACTTAGCAAGAAACTTTAACAGACACGAAAATAGATAAAAATGATTTCTGTTAATTGTACAACCTAGTGTAAAATCTTTACTAGGTTTCTTGTATTTTAACCCTCTTTATTCTTTGTACACCTTAGTCTAAGGCTTCCATATCTTCATCTAATGCTTTGAGTTGGCCACTAACTCAAAGGAAGTTTTATAGAGGAATTAAAAAATAAATTATAAGAAAAAACTTAGTACATTTATCTTTTGCTTTAAGCCTTTAACATAAATATAAAAACATGCACGACCAGCACACAACTTCACATAATATGTTCAAGAGTCTCTTAAAACGAAAAATTGTGATGTAAGATTTCCACTATTATGAAGAGCAAACAGCTATATATAGTGGCAGTATACCATAACCAGACAAGAGCACAATTTTGTGTAATATTTTAGGAGCCATTTGCGATCAATTGAAACCTGTGTATAGGTGTCTCTATAATTATCGAATATACAAAGTACCACATGGTAAAAGAGGAAATAAGGTAATGACTACAAGACCTTGCTGTGGAGCATATTCGGAGTGGAAAGGATGAGCCTGCGGGAGGTGCTTATAGGATCTAACACCTGAAGGAAGAGAAGGAGAAGTAGAGCAAGCGAAGTAGCTCCTTTTTTGCTTTCCACATAAGTGAACGTAAAAGTGAGAAACGGGAGAGCATCTGAAGAAGTAGAATACTCTTTTGTATAGATATTTTGATGAAGTATTCAAAAATGTAGAGGCATCTGAATGCACAAGGATAATTGCAGATAGTCCTTGTGCCAGAATCTTCTCCACATTTCATTCTTGGATATAGATTAGTGGAACATTTTTATTTTTGCATATTTTTGGAGTGTTGTTGATAATCAAGTCATTGTTGATTCTTTTTCATGCAGTTATTGCTGATGACTAGATGAATTTGTAGTGAATCATGATTTGTTGTAAGATTCTCTACCTTTTGTACACACCTCGTAAGCAGTATTTGCCATCACATCACTAAAATTTGAACTATAATCTCATAGAACAGGGACAACAAAAGAATATAAAACCACTCACAAAAAGAACAATAAATTTAAATCCTAGAATTACTAGCTTACTAATATACTATAGGTACAGAGCACCTAGTTCCCATCAAATTACAAGTATGGATTAGACCACAAATTTTCCTTCAATTTCTTCTGCTATCATGTTAGCTTCTTCAATGATATTACTCCCTCCCTCCAAAATACATGGCCTAATTTGATCCAATGTAGAGATCTCAAGAAAATGTTTGAAAAGATTATTAAACCAGTGTATCAAATAATGGTCCTTAAAAATTGTTTGAAATGTGAAAAAACTAAAAGGTGAAGCAATTAAAAATAAAAAAAGGTCAGCATAGGCCTGTTGTTTTTCCACTTATCTTTTTTTTTTTATAATGATGGTGTCCCATCTTGCACGCACCTCGACTATTCTACCAAGTACCTGCTACCTCACATCAGCATAGGTTGTACCAGATAGATCTGTCCACCACGATTACAGATGTGAAGAAACACATTTTATGGTTTTCGTTCTCCACTATCTATAGACTTCAAAGATATCCCAACTAAAGGTCATGATCAAATATCTTTAGCCCAACTCTCAGAACAAGATACATATTGGGAGATTATTGACTGCATTAGACTGTGTACCAATGACAAGGAACCTGGTCCTGATGGGTTTCCAATGAGCTTCTACCAATCCTTTTGGGATCTGGTCAAGTTAGATATCATGAATACCTTACATCACTTCCATTCTCATCCTGTGTGTGAAAAGAGCTTTAATGCTACTTAGAGGGTGTTAGGATTAACTTCTCTTAAGTGTTTTTGGGCTTTTAAGCTCTTTTCTTATTTTTTGTGGTGTTTGGGAAAGATAAAAAGTGCTTTTAAGCACATACTTTTAGGTCAAAAAGTATAAAATTAAGCTAAAAGACAAAAATTGGATATTCTGAGCTGATGGTTTTTAGCTTTTAGCATATAAGCTACTTTTAAAAAGTTAATCCAAACACCCTCTTACATTCCCCTCATACCTAAGAAGATAGGAGCTTCAGAACTCAGGGACTTCAAACCTATTAGCCTCGTAAGTGGAGTCCCAAAGATCATTGCTAAATTATTGGCAGAAAGATTGAAAAAAGCAGTGTGTAAACAGGTTAACAACCATCAGATGGCATTCTTCAAAGAAAGACAGATTACATATACTCCTCTTATAGGTGTTATGAGCAAAGTAGACATAGAAAAGGCTTTTGACCATGTCAACTGGGATTCTCAAACAGATGGGCTTTGGTGTGAGGTGGTTGAAATGGATTGGACTTTGTATCAAAATAGCCAGGTTCCCGATTCTGGTAAATGGAGAACCTATTGGTTTTTTTCCTTCTTAAAGAGGCCTGAGACAAGGTGACCCTCTTTCACCTTTCCTTTTCACTATTGACATGGAAGGCTTCAACAGCATGATGAGAATTGCAGTCCAGAAGAGATGGGTGAATGGCTTCGGGATAGGCAACAGGTTGGGTGAAGACATGGAAATTTGTCACTTACTCTATGTTGATGACACTGTCATCTTCTGTGATGTTGCATTTGAACAAAATTGCTATATCAGGATGATTCTCTTAGCATTTGAGGCTACTTTTGGACTGTGTGTAAATTCGAGAACGAGCAGCTCATTCCCTACCAATGAGGTGACACATATGGAGGGACTGGTTAGCATTCTGGGATGCAGGATAGATCATGACTTACCAACAACCTACTTGGGCATGCCTTTGGGCACAAGGAGTTGGAAATATGGGACAGGATAGTGGGAAAAATAGAGAAGAAGCTCTCAAAATGGAAATTGCAATACCTTTCATTAGGAGGAATATTGACTCTGATAAGCTCTGTTCTGGACTCACTGCCAATACATGTCATGTATTTATTCCCAATCCCTTCTAAGGTGGAAGAAAAGTTAGACAAATTAAGAAGAAATTTCTTGTGGTTGGGAAACAAGGAAGGCAAGGGTTACCATCTGGTCAAACAGAAGACTGTTCAACTAAACAAAGAAACTGGTGATCCAGGCATCTGGAACCTGGCACTTCATAATAAGTACCTAATGATGAAATGGTTAGGGAGATTTGTTGATGAGGAGCAAGCACTTTGGAAGGAGGTCATCCAGTCTAAGTATGGGCAAATCAGTCACTGGTGGTGACAACTACATATAGTGTCTCAATATGGAAGTCCATCAAGGCCCTATGGTTTTTCAGATCATTTTGCTACAAGATTGGTAATGGCAACAAAATTTCCCTTTGGAGGGATACCTGGAATGGTCAGGAGTCCCTGATGAATTCCTATCTAGCTTTGTTCTCTTTATACAGCAATCGTGACAATTGGTCCCCTCAAGGGTGGAATATCTGTTTCAGAAGGCGTCTAAATGACTGGGAGGTAGATATGCCGGCCAGGATGGCAAGGATGCTCCAAGACATTAGTAGTTTCAAAGGTATCAATGTGAGCCCTGATACTATCATCTGGAAACATGGAAAAGATGTCAAATTCACTGTAAACAATCTATACAGGAAGAATATATTGAAGAATCCATGTTGCTAGATAGGGCCATTGAGGCAGGTTCGGAATAATCCGACTCCAACATAAATTTTGTGCTTCCCTTGGCTGGTGACCAGGAAAGCTTGTCTGACACATGAGAGTCTAAAAAGAAGGGGGATGCAATTTGCATCCAGATGTTTCTTGGGCAATAAACAGAGGAGACAAACAGCCACATTTTCTTACACTGCAAAGTCACTTCTCAGCTTTGGTCCATCTTCTTTAGTCTCACACAAACCCAGTGGTCAGTGCCAGAGCATACAACAGACCTTCTGAGCTGCTGGATCAGGAGAGGGGGAAGCAAAAATCAAACGAAATGGTGGAGAATAATCCCAGTATGCATATGGTGATGGACAGTGTGGAGAGAAAGAAATGTGAGATGCTTTGAGGATAGATTTGTGGAACTGCATCACAACCCATTATTTTTAGTGTAAAGGAGAACTTGTAATGATGAATTCAAATAGTAGCTTTGTTAGGCTCATTGTAATTAGCATTTTGGTCACAATTTTTGGAGGTTGCCAGCATAACATACCATTAATGCTGAAGAATACAACATAACCAGTTCTTTTTTAAAAAACAAAAAAACAAATCAAAAGGGGAAAGTCAAACCAAATATTTATTTCATGAGGAAACAAGTTGAGTACCAACTCACGTTGAGATGGAAGCTCCTAAGGTTCTACCAAACACAAGACACGCCAAATAGTAAAGCAAGGGGACATAGCATGGCTACTACGTAAAAGGGTCAATTAGTTGGTTTTACTAAATCGCCTCAGTGAAACAATCTAAACATCCAACCCCAGACGTCAATACAACATGTAGAGTGGATCAAAATATTATGAATTTATTTGGGAACCCTTAAATAAACAATGACAAATGTGTTCTCTAACACCCTCGCACACGTGTAACCCATTCTAGCTATACGCGTGGATTGCAGATTTCTTTTTTTCCTTTTTTTGTCTTTAATAGGCGCAACAAGTTGTGGAGTGGATGTAGAGGCTAGAGCAAAGTTATTGGCGCGGCTGAATTGAGAGAGTGAAGGAATCCTAGAGGGGCTCGATGGGCTGAGTAGAGAAAGATGTTTCGAGCAAATACAAAAGGTAGAGATTCTGATATGATAGATGTCACAGGACCCTTCTAATAGGAGATAGAATATAGCTATGATTTTTTTGCTCTTTTGAAATCTGTATAGATGGCCCTAGCACTGCCTGTGTGCTACTTATAAAACATGCTACCATTCTCAAAAATATGAGGTAGAGTGATGATGGTAATAGAGTAGGTAGAGAGCAATTTCCTTGGAGACTCTTATACATCCAATGAGGGACAAGTGTGTTTCCTAACAACCTCCATTTTCTCAAGGGTGGAACAGAATGGACCTCAATCAGTTTAGTACAAGGTTCCTCAGAAGTTCTGGAGATGCTAAAATTCAAGAAAAAAATTAATATTACCATGAAAGGACAAGGAAGCAAATAAACATATAACGTGAAAGGGACAGTGGAGGTAGGGGATGATGATCCTGGTGAAAAACTGGGAGGAAGTCCCGTACCAGTTAAATTTCAACATGAGGAATGATATTCAAGAAGGTAGGGAAGTGACAAGAGGGGGTTGCTCAGATGGTAAACACCCTCCATCTTCAAACTTTAGGTTGTGGGTTCGAGTCACCAAGGGAGCAACGAAAAGCAGGAGCATCTAGGGAGGGGTAAAAAAAGGGTAGGGAAGCTTATCGCTTGGTGATGTCCACTTCAGTTAAGAAGACTGATTATGATGAAGCAACAAAAACTTTAAAACACAGCAATTTGGATGCCGAAACCATATAGACAAAGGTGGAAGGGTACACAATGCCTCACCATAGATAATATCAGATACGTCAAAAGGCAGATTTGGAATGCCTAAGAGCTAAAGCTTTTGTTGATTTTTGGGCTTGAAAAGTTGGAGCCAGTGAAGAGAAGAAACGGAGCTGTTTATGTCAACTGAAGGATATATAACCTCTCTCTTAAACAGAGTGCTATTCTTTTTACTTTTTCTACTTCAAGACAGATGGTATCACACAAATTGCTAGAATAGCTTTTCCAGATGTATTGTCACTAATTAATTGACTACACATAAGGAAAAAGACAACATTCATTGAAAAAGGATTCATTAGACAAAACAAAACTAGCAAAAAGGGGTGAGATTGAGGCATCAAATGAAGTTCACTTCTAAGTTTAAGGGGCCACTTGGCCATGCAATTTGGATTTGAAATTTGAAGGTTTTGATTTAAAATCTGTGTTTGTTTATGACATTTGAACAAAACTCCAACTTCATTTTGAATTTTGATTTCAAATTCACCTAAAAGGCTTCAATTGCTCTTAAATTAAAACTTGACCCATAAGCTTATATTTTGCAAATAAAGGCCCATACTTTAAATTTTGCCAAAAAAGACTCATGATCGATGTGAAGAGATTGTTTGTACCATGTGGTAAAATTATAATAAAGAATAGCTAGTAACTAATATTAATTTATTTATGAGTTAGTTGTCAAAACCACACCTGATCTATCACATTTACGCAAGTTTCACACCTCAACTATCAGTTGTTCCCTTTTCGTACTCGGACTATCTCCATCTATTCTTTTTCCTACTTGAACTATGACCTATGCATTAAAACAACCTCAAATCTGACCAGGCCAACTATTACTTGTTTCTTTTCCTACATGAACTATCATATTCATGTCCAAACACCTACTAAATATTAATTGTAAAACTAGAAAGATACAAGACCACAATCACCCATGCAGCAGTCGTGTCTCAGAATACAAAGATACTCCTAATTTCCAAATTCTGAAATTCGCCAGTAGCCACAGTTTTTGTTTTTTTGGCAACTTCTAAAAATTAAGATCCACCGAAGTGGGTAGCCTTAACTGGATGTGTCTGGTAATAGGTAAAGCCCCAAGGCGTTTCCCATCCCTGTCGGGGGAGATGCCAACCATCTATCCTTTCTAGAACACTCCATAAGCCACATTTAATCTGTATGGCTTAATCAAAAGGGCTAAATCTCTTACACATAATAATGCATCATGTTCCTTCAAAGAGAAAGGAGCAACAATAAGGATCAAGGCTTAAAGGTAGCTTACGATAGAAGCTGATACACAGAGCTAGTTTTTGGAGTAAATGCGATGGCAGTAACAGCTCCAGTGTGACCACGCAAAACTGAAATAGGTAATCCATCTGGCAAGCGCCACTGAAGTACAGAGAAAGTAGATAAGCTGCTCACTCTTCAACAGAGGAGATCTTCAAGCCCAAAATTATTACTCTTCAAAGAAAGCAAGAAGATATCTCTGTCAAGTGGTAGGAGAATCTTACAACTCGAATGCTGTAGTCATTTGATGCAGATGCCACCAAAGCATTGTTTGAACTGACGGCTAAATCAGTGATGTCACCCTATAGCATGACAAGCAAATAAGTGTACAAACGAAGAGTAACTATTCATAAGGAAGAGTTAAAATTGAGGACACTATTGGGAGCATATCTCAATGAACTTACTTCATGTCCTCGGCAACTAGCCAGGCATAATCCAGTTTCCATTGACCAAACCTTGACGAGGCGATCATCAGAACCAGTAATCACATATCTTCCTGAGCGATCAAATATTGCTACACAACAGAGAATAGGCAGAGAAATTGAGCTGAAGGTTCGAATGTCTTCTTGACAGACAACCCTTTATATCTCTAATTGAGCTGAAGGTTCGCACGTCTTCTTGACAGACAACCCTTTATATCTCTAATATGATAAACCTTAAAAGCTATTGAATGTATCTACGATTTAAGAAAAAGAAACAGCTACCTTTAAAACTATTAGTGGCATTCAATTTCTGGAATATTAGGTATAGCAGAAAAAGTGTGTTTTATTGAGCATAAATGAAATCCCTGAACGAGAACCCATTTTGAGAGAAGAACTTTTAAGTGCCTATATACAATAAGAGTTTTAAAGTTGTACCACAATAAACAGCATCCCTATGTCCCCTTAGTTTCTTTATGTTTTGCATCTTTTGGACCATAGTTGACGGCTTTGCAACAGCATAACTTGCAAGACGGATAGATGGAGCACGATGATGTTTTGGGAAACCTCCTCCAATCTCTCTTAAAGTTAGACCATGCACCTGATTAGCCGGCATGTGTGGCCAACGGAGGTATGAAGGAAGGGATTGTGCTTGCTTATTGACTCTATTTCGCTCACCTGTTCATCACATATTCAAACTTAGACAAACAGAAAACCTAAAGTGGCAACAGAATGTATATGTCATGCTACTTAAGAGAGACAACATAAAAGGGAGAGGGACAATGTGCAGAAGAGATCACAGTGCAAATGACCAAACAAGGGATGTTTGTGAAGAATTCGTAGTTTGGAAGGCTTTCCTGGATAACTTTGCTCACTTGAACAAACTGATGAAAGGAAACATTCACGATCAAAGATGCAGAATACATGCCAAAGAGTTTTTAAAAAGTACCTGTAAGCTGTTTTCGCCTTTTAGTGAGACGCCTTATAAAGCCAATGAAAGGCACAAATTCAAATGCAATACAATCCTCAAAATGCTACTCAGTAAATTGTGGCTTCTTTTTTTTGGCCAAAATACCACCAAAGATATAGTTTAAGTGATAGTGTATGTCAGTCTAAGAGTAGAGAGATAAAGTTAATCTTGTAATATGCTTGGATTCCTGTTAGTTCACTATCTGGTGACATGATATTGGAGAATTGTTGAGTAGTACAGGGAAAAGGTTTATGTAACTTTTGGCCAAAACGAGTACCAAAGCTATAGTAGTGCACAAGCCAGAACAGAGAGTAGGAAAATTAATCAAGGACAAAAGGAGTCGGTTTAAACCAAAAAAAACAAAAAAGGAAAAAGAGAAATTGAGACATGCGAGGTCAATTTCCAAGAGAATATATATTAGATCTTAGACCTCATAAGACTACTTACAAGTCAAAAGAGAAAAAGGCCCAGATCCAAGTAGCGTGGGGACATCAGCAGCACCAGGAGCATCTCCCCCACCACATTGCAAAGGAGGACCCGAATTCAGCAGCAGTTGTTTAAACAACTTTACCAAGTGATCTTTTTCAACATGAGGATACCTATCATCAGCAAACTAAAGGTTTAAACAACACAAGGAATCAAGAATATCAATTAACTATTTAAGCAGAAACAGATGGATATTGTGGCATGTTAACCAGGTCAACTTTCCCAGGAGCCCAGCAACCATTTTGAAAGCATCATTAAATATAAATAATTCAATTATAAATAAGCAAAAGGTTCTAGTGAGAAGGCATTATATAGTATAATAGAAAAGTGACTAATAATTGATTTTTTGGTTATAATAAAGAACTCATAATTGAGTCTTTAAAAGAAAGTTTAAAATCTATAGGACTCGATCAGAGTAGCTTGACATTCTTTACCAGAATTAAATTATCATATATTTACATAAACTCATAAAAGAATTGAATAGATGTATCCAGGGAGATTTCTCTTTGAAGCAACTATTTCCTAGATCACATGTCGTCTTATTTCACAACTGAATCAATCTAAAACTTAAAGCGGAACAACTTCACATAAAGTGGGGCAGAGAGGACACAGGTTTCCCATATCTATTATTCTGTGGATCGAAAGAGCCCCCAAAGAAGGTATACAAAGCTTGCTCAATACAACATGTTTGGAGCTGATCTATTCTAAGTTGTCTCAGATGACAGATATGACAGTGATGAGGATCAGAGTGATGAGACTGAAGCTCAAAGCAAACACCAGCACACAAAAGTGCAGCAGACATATCTAATTTCAACAAGAAGAAAAACATAAAATATGTTTACAAGGCACACCTTAGCATCAGATCATCATAATTTAGAGGGAAAGAAATGTCATCGTCATCATCATCTCCACTGAGTACACCTTTTCTTGAATACCAAGCATGATATCTCCTAGGCAGAAGCTCATGTTCCAAAAGTTCATCACAGAATATTCCAAACGTTTTTCGGCACGGCCCAGATGACAAAAAATGCATAATCAGAAAATAAACTTCTCTGAGGTCAATATTTACATCCTTTATTGTGGCATGTTCAGCAAATCTCTCTTCTTCTTCGAAGAGAGATTTTGTGTATACCCTATTCAGGAAACTTGTATGTGCCATATTTGATGATGAAGCACCATTTCTAGATGTACACTTCCCTGAATCCATCCTTTGTTAGCAAATAAACTCCCCACACTGAGTATTCCTCTTCAAAGAGCAAGATCCATGAATCTACATTCTCAAAAACTGAAATTAGAAAGCATACTCAATCATTTGCTAGGAAGTAGTAAATGCAGAAGTTCTCATAATTCATTAACACTTCATGAAACATATTCTAACCACCATGAACAAGCGCGCACAAAGGTCACTACACAAGGTCAAAGAACTTAGATATGATTCTTCCAAACATGTTATTGTAATGCAACAAAAATATGTGACAACAATAACAAGAAAGCCCCCACCCCCCCCC